TCCCTCCAGGATACTTTAGTTATAATTTCAGGACTTGGTTGGTACTTAGATAAGTATGCAAAGTATATCTCACAAATGATATATTTATGGTTACGTGTAGAATAATGAAAAATTACTTTGTAATAGATAAATTGTAAGTATATCTCATAAACTATATTTACTATAGTTTATATGTTCATTATCCATAATGCAATCTGAATGTGTAAAACAGTGCATATAATTATAAACTCTACCTATTATAGTTTATATGTTTTTTTTTCCGTATTGTAATATGAACTTTGAAAAGTAACATATAAGTTCCATAAACTGTACCTATTATATTTTATATGTTTGTGTTTTACCGAAACAAATACCTTTGTTTAATTTGTAAAATATGTAATATGGTTATTCCTTTAAATTCAATATTTATGTCAAAATGGTACTAAAACAGTTTGAAAAAAATTATATTCTTGTTTAACAACTTTGAAATTATTTTATACTTATATAAATATAATATTTATATAAGTATGATTTAATAGACAGTCGAATAAATAATTCTAAGCCTACTGAACAACAATTATGTAATTTATACATATATAAATATATATTTTTAACAATGGCAACGGTTAATAAGGTATTGAAAAAATTTAGATATTAACACAAATTTTATTATGTTACACTTGTATTCCTCCCTAAAAATAGTGAAAATTTTTGAAAACGTAGGGGTATGAACTCACCTCAAATGTGATAACGGTTTCGATAGCGGGGTAGAAAACGGTGATTTTGGGCTAGAACACGGGAAGGATATCGTTATCCTAATGGTTTTAAGCACATATTAGTGTGTGATTATAATGATACAAGAAATATATATATATATATATATATATATATATATATATATATATATATATATAAATTTGTATAACATACATTTTATGATTAAAACTTACCAAAAACTAGGAGAGATATGAAGGTGTTCCTTGAATTGAAAGGAAAAATATGTTTGATACTTGAGAGAAATTAGGAAGATTTTCGTGTACTACATGTGAAAAATGAGAAGAAACACCATTTTGGTTGTTTAAATGTGAAGGAAAAGATAGTCGACTTAAGGGTTTTCGGCCAAGAACTCAACCCGAGGAGAAGATTTCGGCCGAGAACTCAAGGAAGGCTTCACATGTTTTTGGCCGAGAATAAAGGAGTTTACGGTCCTTAATTCAACCACTACAACTTTCTTCACGGATATTGGGGTTATCTATCATTTATTTTCGACACTTATTTTTATCCTTAATTCATTAAATTATAATATTTAAGTATAAATCACAAAATACTCAAATAATACGTCTTATTATTCCAAAACAAATTACAAAGGTTGACCTAGACTATTACATCATCAGTAACGCCTAGCCTAGAAACACGGGCGTTACAATTTTTTCCCCATTAGGATGATTCTATCCTCGGAATCACATATCAGCAAACAAATGCGGATAGCCACTCATCATGTCACTCTCCATTTCCAAGGTGAAATTTGGACCATTCGAATGTTTCCATTGTACAAGTACTAAATCGACCATCTTGCGTCGCAAATTCATAGTCTTACGTTCAACAATTGCCTCTGGTTCTTCAATTACCCTCTTGCTTTCATCCAACCTTAATTCATAAATTGGAATTATGTTGGGAACTTCTCGCGTGAATTTCCTCAAATAATACACGTAGAAAGTGTTATGAATAACATCTAGTTCTTCTGGTAATTCTAGCTTGTAAGCTTGGTTCCCAATCCTCTGAGGAACCTTAAACGGTCCGATAAACCTTGGACTTAATTTTCCCCGAACCACGTAACATACTCAACTTAGTCAAACTCAATTCCATATGACTTCTAGGGTCGGAAAATCAATCATCTTCTTAGTCATTACCGAAACGATGGTAATGACATACTTGAACGAAAACGAAATCAATTACTAGCTTCTTGGTAACCTTGTGACTTTACCTGATCCAAGTGTGAGTTATGTGCTTCCAGTAATATACGCCTTTACTACTATTTACACCTACTCATACTCGTCTCACGTATTGTCTCGCAATTTTCCAAGTTATCATTCAAAAATTTCATATAATCATTTAATACATCAGATAATAAAAACAGGGTTTATATTATTTCTTGAAACGATAGAGGTTCATGTTTACCCTATACTATGCCTCTAATAGGCTACACCACTTGTTACTATTCACATTGCTTCTTCATAACTTGATTTTTGGATATGAAGTCCTCATCCTTGATTCCTCGCATTCTCACCTGCTTCATCGAGGATCATTTGGAATGCCCTTGGCTTTGGCTTTGGCAGTTCATTTGGCTTCATTTCCCTTTCCCTATTCGGCTAGTGTTGGTTGAAGTGTCCTTCTCCACCACACTTAAAGCAGACTTCTCTCTGGGTTGTGCATTCATGTGCATAATGACCAGTCCTCCCGCATTTGAAGCATGTCACCTCTTTAGGACATCTCCCAATGTGTTTCATCTGCATTTGTCACACCAACTTTCTTCATTAATATCCCCATACTTCTTGTTGTTAGGGTCATACTTCAGGAACCTATTTTTATTTTCTGATGTTGAGAATCCCTCAAACTTTCTCTTCTTGCCTACCTCAGCTCTTTCCAAACCCTTTTCCCTCAATTGGATCTCCACATTCTTGGCTGCACTAACGGTTGTCTTCAAGGTAGTTTCCATTTTCAATGTTGCACTAAAATCCGATGTAAATTCGTTAGCAAACCTATCTATCTTGGAGACTTCCAACGACACTAAGTAGGGAAATAGCTTCGTCTTGTTAGTGAATGTTGTGGCATACTTATCTACACTCATCTTCCATTTTCTCAGGTTTCGAAACTCATTGTTTAGGTCTATCAGATCTATTTTAGAGCAATATTTCATTTTTAATTGCTCCATGAATGCTTCCCAAGACATTCTCAGGGCTTCTCCCTATGGAATTGTATCTGCCAACAACTTCCACCAACTTAAAACTCCAGTCTTTTGTTATATGACTGCAAAGACGGTTATCTGCTTGTTGTTGCAATTGCAACTTTCAAATACCATCTCCATCTCAGAGATCCAGTCCATAATCTCTACAAGATTTGGGATTCCTGAAAGACTTGGTGGTTTTGCTCCCATGCAATTCTTATACATACATCCATCTCTGTTGATTCTCCCGTCCGGGTCACCCCTTTCTGCCACTGTGGGTTCCGCTTGACTGACAGTCCTACTATCATCCCATTCTTCTGACTATCCGTCAATCAGTTCACTTTGTTCGATAGACATTGAGGGTTCATCCATATTATTCAACAATGGTTGTCTCATCTCTAACCTTTGTTCGGCTATCATATCCAGAATCATCGCTTGTACTCCAACCATTGTGTTTGGATCTGGTGCAGCTTCAACTATCGGCACCTGCTCAATCACTTGGGGTTGAGGTTGCTTATTTCTGTTTTCATTTGTGTTTCTAGCTCCGCTTTGGGTTCGTGCCATTTTGATCTATGCACCAAATTAGGCGAATTAAATAATATCATATATGGCAAACATAAGGTTTCCAAATCCGGTCGACAACTGACCATATATCTAATCCAAGATAGATAGGTTTGCTAATCATACTCCCGGATCGGGTACATCTCGGGTATGTCTGATCCATACTCCCGGATCAATAACTGTGCCTATTCCATAATCTTGGACTTGGGACAATTTAACTATGTCTTAATCCATACTCATGGATTAATAACAAATAACCATGTCTTAATCCATACTCTCGGATTATTAACAAATAACTATGTCTTAATCCGTACTCCCGAATTAATAACAAATAACCATGTCTTAATTATTTCTTAAGGATTTACCCTAAGAATCATCTATCACTCATTCCTAAGGATTCATCCTAAGGAATAGGCATGAAGTATATTGTCACCAGGATTTATACAACATGCACTAAATTCATAGCTGCCAGGGTTTATACAACAAGCACTAAGTCCATAGCTACCAGGGTTTATACAACATGTGCTAAGTCCATAGCTCTCATTTATCAACGATATTATTCATGGGAATCCACCTGCAATACATGTCAATGGGTTTTTAGAGTACATATGATGAACATATATAGTTCACAACACCTATAGGTTGTGAGTCTGCTAGTGTTCCATAGACCGTCTAGAATAGTCCATGGTTGTCATCCATACTCTGCTGAATGATGAGCGACAATGTTTGGTTAAGGGATTCTCTCATATTCCCCCCCTCACCCTCATCTCATGATCTATATCACCGATCATCTCATTTATCCAACTCAACTTTCATCACATACCAACTATTTCATCTACCCATGTTTTACCCAATATTTTTGTACATATAAAATACATATACAATTTAAATCATTTAAAATCTTTATAAATCATTCATTCAACATCCATCTCAAATAAACTAACATTCGCTTGAGATGAGCAACAATGGGCTCATGCTTTTGTTCATACTTGAGCAACATATTGAATAGAAAAATCCAATCGTACGGGTTCAGGCAAGGAAGATCAGCAAGTGTAAACTCAAATACCTGAATTGTAGAGCCTCTAGTAACCTTAACACAAGCATTTGGGAAGCTATCGGTTTCAATTTCACCTGAAACCTTCACACATGTTATCTTTTTTGCACTCCAGGTTTTATATTAAGGCTTTGTGTGCTTTAAGTAGAAGGAGAGTAACATATGGTCAGCACCATTTTTAGTTAGAGGAACGTTCACAACTTTGATGAACTTACGAAACATGAATGCTTTCGGTGTTATTAGAAGATCAAGTTGCAAATACTGTGTGTTTAGCAAGTCAAAATAAGCAACAGGCTCTAATCAATATTGTATTGGATTGTGTATAGCCTAATTCATAATTCGCTCCAAAGTCCACAATGGAAATAAAAGGTTCTTGCTTTCCAAAGTGACTTGAACTTCTCGTTCAACTTTCTCTTTCTCTTCTGCTTATCTTATGACGCGATTATGTTCATCAATCTAAGCTTAACGAGCCTTCCTTCGTTTTAGCTCATGCTCATCAGTTTCTTCTTCATCATTTTCATCAATGATCTTTTCTATACCTCTAGAACTCAAAGCTACATTAACCTTCAGTTCGTATTCTGACTTTGGCTTTACAGTTGTATCAGCTGGTTTCGGGGTTTCTTTTGTAAATTGCTTCATAGTATCCCCCCTTGTTTTAGAAGTGTGTCAAACTCCAAATCACCTTCAGTCCTGTTGAGCATCACGAACACATGCCTAAGTTTTTCAGCCAGATGCTTCCTAACAGTGATCATGATTAGAGAATCACGAATCTCAATGATATCTGAGAGTAAGGCGTTCATATCTTCAACACAAATCTTCATCACCGCCTTTTCAGATAAGAGCGTAGTAATCTGTTGTTCAACATGTGCGATCTTGACAAACAGAACCTTCACTTTTTCTATTTTGACTATGAGCTTATTCGCGATTGATTTATCAATGGATACGTCTTCATGAAGCTTGTATATCTTGGAAGAGAAGGAGGTGTGAAGCTTTGAATTATCAGATAGGATGCCAGTGTGAACCTTTTCTTGAGCATCCTTCTCTATCTAAAGAGTAGAACCAAGACTGGTTATTACTACATTTACTTTCATAGTATTTGTTTCGAGAGATGTCTAAAATTTACTCATAAAATATAGAGCATCAATGATTAGTTTATCGACTTTTTCGGTTGTCTCCTTGAATATAGAAGCTGAAGCATTAATAGCTTGATTTGTTTTTTCAAGGTTCGCAGAGTGTTCCTTCGTCAACGTTTCAAAGAAGGCCTTAATAGTTTCTTGAGAGTAATCACCACGAGAGGATGTTTTTGTGGACTCAATTAAGGAATCCAACTTTTCAGTCAATGCCTTAAACTTCCCTCTAGTGATCGGGGCTTCATCATCACTTTCTATTCTGATGTTGAATGGACTGTAAGTAAAACCTCCAAAATCTTCTTCATCATCACCATCAAAAATTTCTTGATCGTCTTGGCATAGAGGTGAGATGGGTGGTGTAGAATGACCAAGAGTGGAGTCTGAAGCACTTGCCCCCGCATTAGATGCGTTGATAGAAACCGGAGGTTCACTAGTGGAAGTAGTTGTGGTTGTTGTTAAATCTGTAAATAATGGAGTGGATTGTGCAAAAATAGCTTGGGGTTGCGAAACTCCCATAGAAAAGTTGGAGGTGTTACATTGCAGTAGTAATGGGAGAGTGAGGAGGAGTAGTTTGTTGGAAGAAGTCATCAGTGAGAAGAACAGATGTAGGCATTGAAAAAGTTACCTCTAGATTAGAAGTGACTGTCTGCGAAACCTGGGGTTGCAAAGTTGTAGCAGTATCATCATGTTCGTGGTGAACATCTTCTTGAACTGCAATTTCTGATACCATGTTGGACTACAAATCTTCATGGTCACTTGGCATTAGAGTTCTTGGCTTGCGAGCCGCTCTCTTGACCTTCTTCTTTGGTGTTTGGGCTGGTTAAGATGGACCAGCCTTTGCAACTCTTTTCTTTCTTCCCTTCTATGGTTTTTCGGCCTCCTTGAGAATCTTGTGAGCATAATTTGTTATTGGGCGAAGACCGGAGGCCGGTAGACTACGATAGTGACTTCACTCGCTGCAGGAACATTGCGAAGCATCACCTTAGGGATGTAATCGATGAAAGAGAATCTTGAAGTATCAACCAAGATGATGTTGGTGGTGTGGAAAATCTGAATAGTGGCCTTAGTGGAACCTTCTATAACTTGGATGTTGAGTCGATCAATAGCCCTTTGAACCACGAGAGTCCAGAAAAGAGCACAGGTGATCTCGTTGTGTCGTGTAG